GTGGTCATGAGGACTAGCCGCCCATCTAAAGCACTCACGTGAGGTTCGAGCGCAGCATGAATCTGCTGATTTTGGTGAGGGAGAACTTGATGTTGGTGTCCATCTCCTGGATGCTCTCCACCGCCAGGCAACGAGGCACCCCCGGTGCAAACTCGGCCCACCTAGAGTTTGTTCGGTTTATTTAAAATTACATTTCATTCAAACAGCACACAGGAGTCACAATGAGGCCTGCCTGGCAGCTGAAAAGTGGGGAAACTCTGATCTCTGCGTTGTTCTCTGAATTTGGCAGATGCCGTTCTTTGGACTACAGTTCCCATTGTCCCCAGGTTTTTCTGGGACCCACCTGAAGTCTGGAAAAGGTTCTATGACTTCAACCCCTAGAATCCCTTAGCAAGCACAGGCCTGCAGGCTATGAGATTCTGAGAGTTGCAGTGATTACGAGAATAAGGACCAGGAGTCACAATGAGGCCTGCCTGGCAGCTGAAAAGTGGGGAAACTCTCTGAGCGGTTCTCTGAGTTTGGCAGATGCCGTTCTTTAGACTACAGTTCCCATTGTCCCCAGGTTTTTCTGGGACCCACCTGAAGTCTGGAAAAGGCTTTATGACTTCAACCCCTAGAATCCCTTAGCAAGCACAGGCCTGCAGGCTATGAGATTCTGAGAGTTGCAGTGATTACGAGAATAAGGACAAGAAGATTTTTTCTTTCCAGGCTTTGGGTGGGCCCCCTGTAGCTACAGGGGAGACGCATCGAGTCCTGCAAACTGATGACCATGCATGCAAACGAACAACAACAGAGAGATAGGATAATTTAAAAAAATCTCATGATGATGTAAACTAACAACAATAACAGAACAAACATCATCATAATAAAAGATGTGCAGATTTGTGTTTTTGAATTGGATTCTGGGAGTTGTAGCACGAAAATGCAAGTCTGCTCAGCTCTAACATCTCTCTCTCTCTCTCTCTCTCTCTCTCTCTCTATGTATCTATCTACCGTATCTATTGCCCACCTTTCTCCTTAAAAAAAGACCCAAGGTAGCTTACATCATTAATAGGCAGCATTATTACCATGGTAATTTATTTCAAAGATCACTACCATGGTAATTACGTCCTTCTTTCTTTAACGTGGGAGATGCATTGAGTCCTGCAAATTTATTCCAAAGATCACTACCGTGGTAATTACGTCCTTCTTTCTTTAAGTTATATACTACGTACTGGTCAACAGTGTGTAACGCTCCCTCTGCGTGGTGAAGAATTAACATTCATAAGCTATATATAATAAAATACCAATTTTAAACATTGACCAACCATAAATAGTAAAAGTGGGAGATGCATTGAGTCCTGCAAATTTATTCCAAAGATCACTACCGTGGTAATTACGTCCTTCTTTCTTTAAGTTATATACTACGTACTGGTCAACAGTGTGTAACGCTCCCTCTGCGTGGTGAAGAATTAACATTCATAAGCTATATATAATAAAATACCAATTTTAAACATTGACCAACCATAAATAGTAAAATACAGTGGTGGGCAGCATTATTACCATGGTAATTTATTTCAAAGATCACTACCATGGTAATTACGTCCTTCTTTCTTTAACTTATATACTACGTACTGGCCAACAGTGTGTAACGCTCCCTCTGTGTGGTGAAGAATTAACATTCGTAAGCTATAGATAACAAAATACCAATTATAAACATTGACCAACCATAAATAGTAAAATACAGTGGTGCCTCGCTAGACGATGATAATTCGTTCCACTGAAATCGCTGTTTAGCAAAATTATTGTCTAGCGAAAAGCATTTCTCCACTGGAATGCAGTGAAACAGGTTTAATGCGTTCCAATGGGGAAGAATTGTCTAGCGAAGATTGGCCATAGGAAAGCCGCTTTGCGAACTGCTGATCAGCTGTTTAAATAGCTGTCTTGCGAAGCTTAGGTCCCGAAAACACCTGTTTTGCGAGCACGGAGGGAGCTGTCAAAATCGTCGTCTAGTGAAAAAACTGTCATGCAGGGTAAACTGTCTAGCGAGGCACCACTGTAAACCATAATACAGAAAAAAATATGAACATTGACAAACAATAAATGATAATTAAAACCATATAACTCGCCAAATCTGACATAGGTTTAAACCACAATTGGACATTAATAACAACAATAATAGTGTGCCATCACCCGCTGGCAGGAATCTTTTGATTTGGATTCCTGCACGGAGCAGGGGGTTGGAGCTGAAACCTTATAGGCCCCTTCCCGTTTCATGATTTTATAATTCTAAATTATTTCTGATTTATGGCAACGTTTTTTCAGGATTTTCCAGGTAGAGGAAATATTCAGAATTGATTTACCCTTCTCTTCCACTGGGGGGCGCCCTGGCACGATTGTGCAGCTGGCCCAAGGCCACCCAGGCTGGCTCTTTCTCCCAAGGAGCACCCTGGGGGAATCAAACTCCCAACCTCTGGCTCCGTGGCACACATTAATAAAAGGCACCTTTGAATAATTCCACTTTAAGTACCTTCTTACAAAACTGGGAGGGAAGCCAACTGGTGAACCTCTACTGGTAATTTATTCCAAAGATTATTATCACGATGCATGCAACCTGGTAACAGTGAGAGGCTACCAATAAAAACAGCTGATAAAAGTGTGCAAACATCATACGATGCTAACCAGAAAATCCAGCAACTGAATGTTTTATTGTGGGGCGCCAAGTTTCAGCCAGCCGGCCATGCCCTCTTCCAGATTTCTCCATTCTGTATTGTCTCCCGTTCTCTTCCTCCACCCGCACCCCCATCCGAAACTCAGCATCCAGAGGCATTTGAGGATGCTCTGTCCCCCCAAACAGTATGATCTGCTCTCCCAACAGCAGTCTGGACTTCTTAAAACTTGGGAACAACTCAAAAGTTGCTAACTCCGCTTTCTTGGACCTGAATGAGAACTACACAGCTTGGAAAAATGACTTTTAAAAATAACAAGTATAAGTCCATCATCTCCCCGTCACGCTGGCTGGGAGATTTGGGGAACTGGGTTTTTTTTTTTAAAGGAATGTTTCCAGATACTGGAACCAGCTGTTCTTGCAAAAAAATGCATTTTACAAGGTAAGCTTGTCAGGGCTGTACCGGGTCAAAACGAAAACCTTGAAAACTGGGTGGAGACATAGCAGAGCATTAACATGGCAAATTTAACTGAGTCCATCATCTCCCCGTCATACTGGCTGGGAGATTTTGGGAACTGGATTTTTTTTTTTAAAGGAACGTTTCCAGATTCTGGAAGCAAAAAATGCAAAAAATGCATTTTACAAGGTAAGCTGTCAGGGCTGCACCGGGTCAAAACAAAAACCTTGAAAACTAGGTGGAGACAAAGCAGAGCATTAACATGGCAAATTTAACTGAGCCATGTTCGCTGTGTAATTGTGGCTTGAACGAAACCATGCCAGTCCTTTGCCAGCATGCAAATGATGCTCCTTTCGCCTTTATGCATAGAATCTTGCATCAGAACGCAAGGCGGAGAGTGCGAATATCAAAGGCAAAAGGATTCTTACAGTACCTATAAGCCTCTCGTCTGGCCTTCGATTCTTCTGCCCGATGTTGCAAGAGCAACGAGCTCCCAGCATCATCGCAAACCAGTTTACCTGGAAGGAGACAATTTTTTTTAAATAAAAAGTTTGCAATAAAAATACCCTCTGGCACCATCAAATCAGGACTTTTTTTGGGGAGGAGCGAAAAGAAGACCAGAAATGAGCAGTAAAAAAATCCAAAAACCCAATACAGTAAAACTGCTTCGCCATGTTCTGAACTAGGTGAAGGAACCCCCTTGAACCATGACCCTTTCAGAGAATCCAAAACTTAATGCGAAATCCCTCCAGTGCAACATCTAGGATCCCCAGCCTATGAGCCTATAGCTGGGGATTTGGGGGACTGTAGTGGTTATGCTGGCTGGGGATTTTGGGAACTGTAGTTGCTGTGCTTTTTAGGAGATCCTTCCTCCTTGTTAACTTTGAGATATAACGACAGACACTACAGCTTACTAATTACAGTGGTGCCTCGCTTAACGACATTAATTCGTTCCAGCAAAATCGCTGTAGAGTGAAAACGTCGTAAAGCGAAATGTAAAAACCCATTGAAACGCATTAAAACGTGGTTAATGCATTCCAATGGGCTAAAAACTCACAGTCCAGCGAAGATCATATGGCGGCCATTTTCGGTGCCTGTATAGCGAGGAATCCATCCCTAAGCACAGCAGGGAGCCATTTTGAGCACCCAGCGGCCATTTTGAAAACCTGACGATCAGCTGTTTTGATTGTCGTAATGCGAAGAATTGGTTCCTGAAGCAGGGAACCGATCTTCGCAAAACGAAAAAACCCCATTTAGACCATTATACATTGTCGTGAAGCGGATTCACTGTAGTGCAGGGTAATCGTTAAGCGGGGCACATGCATTGTTGTGAAGCGGATTCATTGTAGTGCAGGGTAATTGTTAAGCGGGGCACGACTGTATAAATATAAATCCGATATAAATAGGCAATATATTTTCTTAGGAACAGCCAAGCCCGATGGTACTATGGGATGTGGCCACTGTTTAAACACACAGAAATCATGCACCCACATAAAACAATGGAATAACCTTTCAAGACTTCTGGAAGGGAAATAATATATCACTGAGGAAGAAAAACAGAGGGCAGGGGAATGTTGGACGCACCCTGGGAGACATTCAGAGAAATATCCATTTAAATTAGCTTTTATGACCCTTTGCATGTATTTTCTGTATTATTTTTTCCTTGTATCCTTTGTTTCTTCAGACTTTCCTTTCACGCCTATGTACATATTTGATTGTATCTGCTAGGTAGCATAATAAAAGATTTTCCTAGGCCCTCAATGTGCCTCATCACAGATTTTTTTTTTTTAAGAGAGAAGTCTTCACGATTTTTCCACACCGGCTGAAATGTTCTGGGAGTTGTTAATATCCAATCATTCTGCGCATTCAGAAATTTTATTTTATTTTATTACGTTCGGCGTTCAGCCTGTGGCAGGAAAAAAAAAACCACCAAGTCTTCTTGCACTTCAAAGACTTCCCTGTTTTACAAGGTATGTGTTTTCAAAGATGGTACAACCCCCGCCCCCCCCCGTCATCTTTATGGTGCCCCAGGGATTCCCTAACCAGAATCTTACTGCCAACTGACATGCACATACAGTAAATGACAGGGTACAAGCAACAGCAGCAAATGGCTATTAATTAACAAGCTCCTGGTTGCATTGCCGGTCATGTGCCTGCTAATGGGATGAACACCCGCCCAGCATCTCATTCATTAGCAGCCATCTGCTGTGTTGACTTCTGCAATGGCATTTATGCAAGCATATGCCACAAGTAAGCACCCTGGCCTTTCTTGGCGCTGTGTGGACTACAATTCCCAGAATTCCCCAGAAGACTGCAGACAAGGATTCTGGGAAACGGAATCTGAAAAGGGCAACTTTCTCAAGCAAAGCGCTCCTGTCTCAAAGGGTGGAACGGGGTGGGTTTTATGCATCCTCATGGAAGGGAAACAGGAAGGATATTCGAGCAGGCGAGGTCGCGCCGGTTTCCCACCTGTTCCCTCGCGCAACTCCAGGGTCCGGTAGCCCTCGATCCACTGGTAGCAAGGGAAGTAGTAGGTCTGGCCCTGCGGGGTGGTCAGCTGGACAAAATCGCAGAACCAGCTGTCTTCGGGGAAAAAATAGTACGGCTCTTTGTGAAGACGGACCAGCAGGAGCGGGCCGAGGTCTCGATCGCTCGGCACCTTGTACTCGTCCACCTGCGGAAAGGAAAGAAAAATGAGCCAGTGAAAAGCAGCACCGGTTGGATGACAGCCTGTCACACACCAGTTTGTGAACAGAGCACAAAATGAAGGGCGGCACAAAAATCTTTGTAATCAATAATCGGGCGGGGGAGCCTTTGTCCGTCCCAGACAACGGAATTGGGCCGCACGGTGGCCACTTCATGGACCCGCACGATGGCCCTGTAGCCCCTCAGCTTTCCCCTACCCCCTGATTTACTTGCCCCTCCTAAAGTCGAATCACACACCCAAGAGGCCATTGGGGTGGGGGTGTCACCTATCCTTTTGGGGTGCCGTACATGAATCCAACATGATTCTCCTGGGGGGTCACTTCCTCTTTCTAAACACGGCTCTTTAAAGCCAGGAGGAGCACGACAGGGGGTTGAAATGGACCGACAGGTCACCACTCTCCTCCAATTCAAGTTTTTGGAAGCTAAAAGTGTCCCTGTGTCTCTGTGTGTATGCATGAGTGCGTTAACGTGTCAGTTGTGAGGAGTACTCCTGGGGAGATTCAAAAATTCAGAAGTAAAAAGGGTTCCTGGGGAACAGATACAGTATATGGGGGGGAAGCAACTCCTCCCGAAGCCCCGGACACACACACACACCCGCAAAATCTCACCGCGCCCGGGACGAAGTCTTTCCCCACGTTGTTCAATGGCTGCTTGGGGCTCTCGCCCTCCGAGCCCACCAGGCTGATGGAGATGGCGTCGAAGGTCCCAGAACCCCAAAATCTTCCGGTGGCCACTTGGACTTTGTAGAGAGCCATGGCTTTCTCACCACCGTTGGATTGGGCTCCTGGACTTCTCCGGGATCCTGCCTCTTCATTCTGTGGAGCCGGAGGATAAGATCGAGCTTATAAGATTGAGCGGGGAGGGGGGGAGAAAAGGATGATGCAACTAGTAAGTTGATTTTGCAAGAAAGCAAAAGAGACCAAAAAAACCCCACCCTTCTCGGGCCTTTGTCTCTCCCCTTGCCCCTTTGGCCTCCACCTCGCCCTGAGCGCTTTCCTTTCCTCCTGGGGGTTATGAAACATCAAGGACTCCGCACCTGAATGTCCTTGTTTTCCTCTTCCCTCCTCCTCCCCCTTTTCCTTTCGTGTCCTGACTTTTGCAAGGGGGGGAGAGAAACCCTAAAGGGAAGGGCAGTCTTCTGTTTACGGATCTCATGCAGACAGTCTCAGAGGGAGTTATTTTTGGTCATTTTAGTTTATCATGGAGTTGTATTTTATGATTTTGTTTGTGGTTTTTCCCCCTTGTAAGTAAGTAAGTAAGTAAGTAAGTAAGTAAGTAAGTAAATAAATAAATAAATAAATACTGTAAATGTATTCTCGAAGGCTCGAAATAAATAAATGTTTGTTTGCTTGTCATTTTGCTATAATGAAACATTTTGATTTTTTTCCTACCAATAATGTCTCCCAAGTGAGTTACTGAGACTGTTAAGTACCATTTAATAAGAAAGGGGTGGCCGGCTCCAGGGAACTCGAAGCTATTCTACTCCATGAATCCCTCCATTTTTGCTGCACAGCTGTGAACAAATTCAAAACTCTACAGCAACAATTTACATGCCTCCAGTCTTCTGGATCCCAAGGCCAAAAATATAGTCTGGACTTCCAGGTCTTCCTTCCAGAATAAGGAGGAAGAAAGCCTTTTGAATGGGTTGAAGGTCAAAAGGCTCATTCGCACAAGGAGCCCTTAAACAGAATTTTAGAGTCATTTCGCAGATTGAGTAGCCCAGAATCTCTAGGTATCCCTGGTTATTGTAGTTTTTCAAGATCTATCTGACTTTAGGATTGCAAATAAATAAATTAAATAAACCTCTTGCTTTTCATCCATTTACAGATCACAAAAAGGTTACCTGTAGCCCTTCCCGGAGGCGCCGAGATTCGTCCAGAGAGAAGCTCCTTCCCTGGGATCCCAGGACATCGGCTGTGGCCTCGGAGGAACGTCTGCGAATCCCTACGGGATTGGTGTGGAGTGAATATTGGCCCCCAAAGAAAGCCCCCTTCTTCCAAGACTTGTCACTGCACGCTGTGGAAACAGGGGAAAGGAGACTGGGTTATTGTTACCTTTTCAAATATGGCCTCTTTGGAATGGTGAGCATTTCCTGGTTCAGGGAAACAGTGGCGTCGTTCATCCGAGGTGGGAAGGAGACCAAGACAGACGGCGATATCGAAACATATTTTACAGCTCTTCAGAAAAAAGAGGGGGGGGGAACCGGGGCGCAACAAGCTGTTATCTCGTGATTTTTTTCTCTCTCCAGATCTGTAGAGGAATTTACAAAATTTAGGTTTTCAGGAAATTTAGATAAAACAGCCCCATCCTCAACACCCCTATGCTCAGCTCTTGCAAACTCAAACCAGTGGCTTCCTTGAGGCAGCCAGTCCATCTTGTGGTTTGGTCTTCCTCTTTTCCTGCTTTCCTAGCCTGTTTCAATATTTTGGCCCCCGCAGATCGTTTGGGTTTTAATTGAGTTAAAAACCCTGGAGCTAAAATGGCTGTTTTTTCCTTTGCACGCAAACCCAGGAAAACATTTGTCAAATACTCTCTCACACACAAAATCTTTTCTTTTTCTTATCTTTTTTTTTTGGATGATAAAACTCTGGCTGACATATTCCGAGAGTGGTCCAAAAAAGTTACTTCCCCCACTTCCGTTCTGTGTCACGCCATCCAAATCTCAAAGAACCAGCCGGACATCTATTGGAAGACATTCAACAATGTATTCATTTATTTATTTGCTGTAACAACCAGGAAGGAACAGACTAATTTTAAAAGTTAATTTTTAAAGAATTGCCTATGGATCTGCTGAAAAGAGAAGTTGTGGTTCCAGACTTCCAGTTCAGAAGTAAACTGCAGTTTGTCTTGAATAACAGAAATAATAACACAGGAAACCAGGCATCTTAAGAACTAACAGATTTATCTCAGCATGAACTTTTGTGATTTGCAACTGAGGTCAACTGGATACAAAATGACTGCAACCGAAAAGGGCTGACACAGCTACTTTGACTGAAAACTGATTCATTATATTATAGACAATTTTTGTTACACTGTCTTACCAAATCCTAACAGCCTTGGATTCAAAACACATACGGTGGTGCCCCATTCTGAAAAAATCCGTTCTGAAAAAATCGTCGCTATACGGATTTGTCGCTATGCAGAACAAAAAAGCCCATAGGAATGCATTAAAACATGTTTAATGCGTTCCTATGGGCTAAAAACTCACCATTATGTGAAAATCCTCCATATGGCTGCCATTCTCGCTGCCCGGTAAGCGAGGAAAGGGCGTTAAAACACTGCGGGCAGCCATTTTTTTACCCGGCGGCTGTTTTGGAACTGCCGATCAGCTGTTAGAAAAAGCACCGCTATGCGAAAATCAGTAAGTGAAACAGCTTACTGATCATTGCAAAAAAGCCATTGCTATGCAGATTCATCGTTAAACGGGGCGCCCGTTATGTGGTGCACCACTGTACATGGATGGCATTATGCTGGAAGACCATGTCCCTAAGTGGGGTGTGATCCTGGAACCAGATTTCTCTATGGGGAAGCAAATATTGTTGTTGTTTAGTCGTTAAGTCATGTCCGACTCTTTGTGACCCCATGGAACAGAGCATGCCAGGCCCTCCTGTCTTCCACGGCCTCCCGGAGTTGGGTCAAAGAAGCAAATATTAGCCATGGCTAAATCTGCCTTTTCTCAACTGCAGATGGCGGAATTCTAAAACTTCCTCTATCTGTCAGTGTTCATCCTGATCTATGTAGATCGGACCCCCATGCCTACTCTTGAATAAGGCAGCAAGCAAACCAGGATCTTAAGTGACACAGTCTAAGTTTAACCTAGTTACCCAGAAGATAGTTTATATCACCTTCCAATAATTCTGCACCTTTTAACATCCCTCTATGTATTAAAAGATCTGTCAGAAGGTCTCCAGATAACCACAGTGAAAAATCTATCAATATGGAATAAAACTCCAGTATGGAGCGTGGTCTATGTGGAATTAAATCCTCCTTGAATCCATGCACACACAGGAGAAATAAAGAGGTCTGCTTATTGTTTGGAAGGAAATTCAGCAAGGGTCGCTTATCCACCATAAAAATATGTGATGATGGGAGGCACCCGCTATGCTGATATTTCTGCTAAGGCACAGGATCTCTTTCAGAAGGTAAAATGGATCTAACTCTACATTTATCAGATTCAGTATATGATTTCTGCTGCCGTGGCCTATGTCAGTGGCCCTTACCAAGGTGGCCAGAGAGCCTTACCTGTCGGTGTGGGGTTGCTGATGCCGAAAACTCTGCAGGCCCTGGGCAGGACTTTCCAATGCTCCTGCAGCCCCCGAAAGGCCGTAAACCTCATCTTTTCATCCCTTTAAAAAGAGGGGAAAAAATGACTTTTTGAGTCAACCAGGCAAAACTTGAAGGGAAACAGAACACATCCTTTATTCGGCAAAAACAGTAGCATGGAAACCTGACTTTTAAAAGGAGGAAAACATCAGCGATTTTAAAGTGGATAGCCTCTGGTCCAATAACCCAGAAAAATAAGAGGGGAGCGATCTACAGACGGAATGTCTTTAGACTCTGGAACTCCCTGCCACTGGAGGCCAGCCTGGCCCCATTCTGGCTCTCCTTCTGCAAGCAGATAAAAGACCTTTCTCTTCAGGAAAGCTTTCAGTGACCGGCTGCCTGAGTGGGTTTTTTTTAAGGGATGATTGTGCCTTTCTGTTTTGAATGTGTCTTTAGTATTGCTTTTGTTGACCATTTCTTAGTGTGATATTTGTTTGGTCCTGTTTAGTATTTGTTTACTTATTGCTTTTAGCTTTAAATGTCATCTTTTACTGACTTAACCCGCCTTGGGTCCCTTTGAAGAAGAAATGTGGGATAAGAATATTTTAGAGAAATTAGATAAATAAATTACTAATAGGTTGCTTCCATTAAAAAAAAACATTTAATATACTTTACCTGTTGTAAGAGGTTGTAAGAGGCCACCTCTTTTTTTGTAAAGAAAAAGATAAGCAATCAAGCATCTATGGAACGGATTAAACCACAAGCCACACTGCAAGCTTTAAAAATTGGCAGGCTGATGTCTGTCAGGGCAGCCAAAGTGGCCTGGCAGTGACCTTCTGAAACACCAATTTGGGTTTGCTTCCCTCCTCCCTAGAAAAAAATATATATGGGTGGATGGGAGAATGACACCTCATGGAAGCCTCCTGGCAGATTGATTGATTGATTGATTGATTGATTGATTGATTGATTGATTGATTGAATTCATTCATTCATTCATTCATTCATTCATTCATTCATTCATTCAAAATATTTTTACCCCTCTGTTCTCCTTAAAAGGTCCCAAAGTGAGCCACTTTTCCAACAGATCATGGGTCCCTGGGCTCAATATCCTATTTGGAAAAACTCTAGGTCGTTTTTCATTGTTTTAGCCCCTCGGAGGATTGTAGGGTCGCCCTCCAGGTTCTGGGTACCCATGATGGGCCTGCTGATTCAGCCCACCTGGTCTGGAAAAGTTTTGACTCATAAGCAGAGAAGGGAGGCAGAGGAGCATGGGTTATTTCGACAGCGCTCTTCCACTACTCAGACCAGTCTGAATGCAGTGCAACACAAAACATACACACACACACACACCCCTCTCCTTCCAAAGGCCAGGCTCCCAATGCACCATTATTTGATTGCCCGCACTCCAGACTCTGCCAAACCAGAGCCCTTCCAGAGAAGCCCGTCTGGTTCCCATCATCCCCAAGCCGGCAGGGCTGGCTGAGAGTGATGGGTGTTGGACTCCACACCTCTCCAGAGGGCTCCAGGAATGCCCATGAACGCCCTGCAGGGGAGAGAGACCAGCACGGAGAGCTGGAGGGAGGGAAAGGGGGGGGGGAGCGCAGGGAAGAGGGAGGGAGGCGGTCGTGCCGCGATGGGAACTGTAGTCCCACTCCTCCAGAGTGTGCTGGAGGGGAGCGGCAGCTGGGCGAGGCGCAGCGGATACGGGAAAGACAGAGAAAGAGAGAGAGAAAACACCAGGGCAGAGACCAGAGAAGGCAGGTGCCCAGGATGATGGGACCTGTAGTCGAACCGTCTGCAGGGAACGAGCAGGGCAGCAAATTAAACTCCCCCCCTGCCCTCCAGCGACGGGGAAAAGTTACTTTTTGGGGGAACCACCACCACCACTATCCCCGGCCACCCTTATAGCGGAGGCATGCTGGGACCTGTAGTCTTCCCCCACCACCCACCCACCCGTGCAGGGTCTGAGCC